CAACAAGCAGACGTCAATCTTTCCAATTGGAAGGCAGAAGATACGTATGGTTTCCTCTGTGAAGGAAAGCTCAGTCTGCAGAAGATCTCCTTTCACCTGAGAGTACCTTGGCTGACCCCCTGTCAGTGGAACTATTGAGTGATACGAGCCTATATCCACTGCAGTCAATATAGGTCCATATCTCCTGGGCTAAACAGGGGTCTATATACACTCCCGCTATTCATGTCTATATCTACTCTACCCTGTTTCTTTGAATTGACTGAACAATCACCTGCATTCCTTCACCGTGTATTAAAAGAATTTGATCGTGTCAAAAATAGAGAACATAAGTATACAACACAGAATAGGCTTCGTTGGTGACTCTTTTCATACGAGATTAGGATAGAGGACTAAATCATTGTTGAGTTGGCTGTAATTAAAGTGATTGAATAATTTATTCCCACAACAAAGGGCAAGATCGGGATGAGATCTGTCCACCATGGTGATCTCTGGCACTGATGCACTGTGTGATATAAACCTGAATGGGGTGTTATAAGAGGGTTATGTATACTTTGTGATTTTAACTTGTAGTAACAACAATATCCCCCAAATGATCAAATATTGATATTGTCACAGGTTAGCCGACGATAATCAGAATAAGACATGCCAAGTCAGCATGCGTATATTTTATTCATGCAAAGAAAATTTGAGGGAGCACTTCTCAGGTCGGACATATCGATTTTGATCAGTTGCCAACGGAGCAAATTCCAGTGTGATAAATAACAGCGATGTGCAATAAAGCTGTGTAATACAACTACCTTAATGTTTATCAGACAAGTAAACAAGATGTTCACAATCAAACAACGGCCACTGTTTGTTTAATCACTTGCTCAACAATATTCCAGCTACATGACAGTGTAAATCTAATCTGAACCAGATCATCCAGTGATTGGCATCATAAGTATCAACCTATGAAGTTGGGATATGATGATGTCAAGTCAACCAAGTCAGTGAATCTGACTATTTGATCTCATCAGTCAACAAGCATGGGTTTGTATAGACTAATGCTTAGTCCCTGAACATATATAATTTTGATAGTAACACATAAACCCATTAAAATTGAAAAGGGGCCCAAGTGAGTTAGGATATTCAACCTGGGGAAATCTAGACTTGCTTCATTTAGAGATTTAGCATTGCAGGAAGGGCTGAAGGCTGGGCAGTAGGGAAAATGCACTTCACACATTGTACCCATGTGAGGAATTGAACTCATTTCTCTGGTGTGAAGCTTTAATCACCATTGTTCCCATTGGCCAAATGATACCCACACAGGGCTGTTTCTAGTCTTTTTCAAAATCAGATCCTATCTCTAAAGAATATGTGCAGACATTCACACTAAACAATTTGCAAAACATGATCATAGTTTCCAGGCATGCCAAAGGGAAGTAACTCATGTGATTTGAACATTGTGCCCATGTGGGGAATCGAACCCGGGTCTTCAGCATGACGAGGCAACGCTTTAACCACAAGGCTACCCCATTGCCCCGTATGGCAATGAAACAAATGCTAAGACAGTACAATAAAACTTCAACAAAAGACAATATTGACTTACACGTTGTGACAGTCTTACCTACAACCATAAATATAAAGTCCCCACTCAACCAATGGAGAAAGGGTTTCGAGTGGTTGGTGTCATGATGTTGATGTCCTGCAATTATAGTGTCGATAACAGTTTGGCCAGTAGACCACAGGAGTGCTGGGATATAATAGACATGCTTGTATGAAGTCAGTTGAGGGTGACAGCACATTTTAACACGTCATGTAGAAGCCAGACAAGTGTCTCTCACAGCTATTTTGATATGTAATGGGCAACTGGGTGGCCAGGTTCCTGTTCCAGAAAGTGATCTGAGCACAATCATTTGATTGCTTTGTAGAATGGGGTTCTGGTTTAAAGATCCCTTTGTGGAATGGGGAAGGGGTTAACCTGACTTTTGACAAGGTCCTGCATTAAAATTACTTTGTGGAATGTTTTGGGTGGTTTAGAGTTAGAACACTTTGTGGAACAGGGCCTTGGGTTAGGATCACTTTATGGAGATTGGTCCTTGGTTTGATTTTCTTACATGGATACTAACTGATGGGAAGATATGTTATTACAAAAAGTAGTATAAAACAAAAGAGTCATTTCTCTATCTAAAGTTACACAATACACTTAACAGAGGGATAAATCAGAGTAGCAGAAATCAAATTCTTGACAGGTAAAAGATGATGCAAAGAAACAGATGCTGTTTAATATTCAAGCATTACCACAAGCATGCTGTGAACTGAAAACCACTAAGAGAAGGAAATAACTTTGTGCTTGTTGTTTAACAACAACACTTAGCACTAAAACACAGCACTTGGCTATATTATAACAGCCTGTAAATTGAGTCTTAACCAAACAAACCAGTGACAGGTGTTACGAGCAGTATCCCATCTGTCATCATGTATGACTTACAATCAACCAATGATACACCCTGACCCCTGATCCATGGTACTCCCTTCTTACAAACAGCATTTGTTGATGGGGAAAAGCAGTTATTTTAACAACAAATCCAAATCCAAACAACAAATCCAAACAAATTAATCAAAATAAATAAATCAAGATTCTATCCTGACCTCGAAATATTCAAATTTGATTGGACTATCCAAATCAAATCACAATAAAACAAAAGCAATAAGGCAAATGGAATCTACAGCTGATATAGCCTTATATTAATTCATGACATGTTTTTTATATTGCTTATGTAACGCCATCTATCCATAACATGGATACGTCTAGAAAAACCAAGCAAGTGTGATTCTAGACATCTTGCTGCCAAAACACTTCGTGCAGTCTGCCACCTCTGGCGAAACACCTGTGGATCTGTTATTTACACAAACCAAGACACCAGAAAAGTTCTCAAACATACTTCCACTCTTTTGTCTGAAGCCAGGGGGGGCGGTGGGGTAGCCTAGTGGTTAAAGCATTCGCTCATCCCGCCGAAGACCTGGGTTCGATTCCCCACTTGGGTACAATGTGTGAAGCCCATTTCTGGTGTCCCCTGCCGTGACATTGCTTGAATATTGCTAAAAGCGGCATAAAACCCAACTCACTCACTTGTCTGAAACCAGTTAGTACTGTACTAAAAATAATTATCAATTTGAGCTAGTGTTGAACTCATATGTAAAATACTTTCTTTGAATATCTATATATTTAGCTGAGAAACATGAGGTTTAATTAAAATAATTGCTTTTTATCCAAACATTTCCTTAGCCCAGTGTTAACATGGGATATGTATCAACAAATTCACAATTTCTAAATGTACTCAGTAATAATTCTACACAGTAAGCTTCCATTAACCAAACAATGATGAACTTCTTAATGCATGAAGAGTTACCTCCCTTATTCCACATGGAAAACATTTTCACAAAACATACCAGAAAACTGTCATTGTTTTCAAGTTACAATGGCTATCTACATGCATTTCAATCGATGATATATTTGGTATGATATTTGTGTCAATCTTTCATGAGTTAGTGATTTTTACCAAACACTCCAATCATTCCATGATGGGGTCAAGTTCAAAGGTCTTCCAGGCATGATGTGTTGAGTATATGTACAGGGTCGACGGCTAAATGCATTTGCCAGAATGAACTGAAATTGACATTGAACTTCGGGACACCTGCAGTTCACGGGTCCCCAGACCCGAAGTAGAAATGTATTCTTTATAGCTTCGGCTTATGCGCTTGAAACACTGGCGCATTTGTTGCCGGTAAGATGTGGCGCAGCCAGCGCCATATATATATATAGAAGCACGCGAGAGCTGGCTGATCTCCGGATTAGGAGACATTTTAGACCAAATTAGAGGTCATTTTCGTGTTCACTGGCAAAGTTTAATTTAAAACATCGCCTGAAAGACGATAGTTTTAAAACATCAATTTTAGTAATGCTCCAAAACATCAATGCAATCGTTAGTAATCAAGGGGAAATCCGATGACGCCTTTTATCTGATTGGTCAATTGTGGACGACGCGTGTCGAATGTTCCGGAATAAGGTAGTCGGTTACTACGACTGCTTACAACTTGTGACAGTGAATCATAGTAAGGAATTTGTGAATGTAGAGAATGGTGCGTGCATTCTTAAAAAATTGAGTGGAGAGCGGAAAGCGTCCCTGCCCAGGTATGGAACTCACGAAAGGATTGTATGATAGTTATTTTGTGGAATACATTGTGAGGAAGAAATATTTACGTTGTTCTGATGATCCTTTTCGTTACATTTCTTACTTTTATCCGCCTGTATTTGACCCCCAAAACCCATGAATATTTTTAAAATGGTTGAAAATGAAAATAAAGAAAATGCCATGCAAAATGACTTTGCACAGATGAATTTAATTCAAGTGCAGATTTGTTCTTGTAAAACTGAAGTCTACACAGATTATTTATTTCTATAATTCTATTTTCTTTTTGCATTGTCATATCAGTAATCTTGCTTTTGTTTATTGTCTGAAAATATTTTGGGATACAATGAAGATTCTAAAATGTTTCATGTCAACTAAAACAATACAGACTGGGGAGGTTGAAATATCTGTAAATTTTCACCCCAAAAAAAAATCAAACCTTAAAACAGTTTTACACGTTCAGACTCAAATCAAAAGCAATTTTATGGGCCAACAAACGATGTCACTATTAACTGGAGCAAACAAAAGAACTGTATTGATGTCTTAGGTAATGTAAATATGGCTTCATGAAAGCGAAACTTCCGGGGGGTAAAAGTTTACCCTTGAACTCAAACTTAGTAGACAATTTGAGTTTGGTGGATAGATTACTTAAGTTGTTTGGGCTTTCCATTTTAAAATGCAGTTGAGTTAAAAATTCAGCTGTTTCAAATTGTCAAACTCAGTTTGAAATTTGAGTAAAAACATTTTCTCACTTGTACTATACAATGGTTCTGTGAGTTTCATTTTGAAAATCTATTTTAGGAAGTCAACATTTTGACAGTGTCCTACCTTCCATCTGGTTGTCATGCTTGGTCCTCAGTTTCTCGATGTCCTCCAAGTGAGACAGCCTCAAGGAGTCGATAGCTCGCTGGTGGTCAAGGTTGATGTCGGACACCTGAACAAGAGAAGTAAACTTTAAACAACCCTACTTTGAGTGAGTGAGCGAGCGAGTTAAGGTTTATGCCGCACTCAACCCCACTTTGAACATCAGTAGTAGCAGTAGCAGTGAGCGAATGAGTGAATGAGTGAGTTTAGTTTAGTTTTATGCCGCTTTTAGCAATATTCCAGCAATATCACAGCGGAGGACATGAGAAATGAGCTACACACATTATACCCAGGTCTTTGGCCTGACAAGCGAAAGCTTTCACCACAACGCTACCCCAGTAGTAGTAGTAGTAGTAGTAGTAGTAGCAGCAGCAACAGCAACAGCAGCAGCAGTAGTTCGTTGGTTTGTTGCTTAACGCCGCACTTACAAATATTCCATTATGGCGGTAGGGGTAGTAGTAAATAGTATATAGTAGACAATCCTGCAATGATATAATGAACAATGCTCCATCCCATCAGGATATGATGACTATTACCAAACAGCTGAATCCCACAACCTGCCTCTATAGACAAGAATGGTTTGCTGGCGACTGTTTCTGACCTATTCCCCTGGGGGAGTGGTTCTTAGTTAACACAAAACTCCCACAGATTCACAGACCTATGTGCATGCGATCACTTATTTCAATAACTTATTTCTAAGTTTTTCATTGTCCATCAGAATCTTGCTATTGGTTTTCATCCCACATGTCTTCTTTGAGTGGCATTTTAGAAGTTGGGAAGTACAATATAGAACAAACTTTATGGATAACAACTTCTTCTATTGTTCTATATCCCACATGTCCTTACTTCTAGAACTATCTGCTGGTCACTTACGTTTCTATCATGGCAGTCCTTCATGTACGAGATAACATGCTCATGGTGGTCCATGGCTGAAAATTGAAAATTAAACACTTCAAATTCATTCAAATAAAATAGATATAATACTAATTATATTTTATATCATTTTATACTCAGATATATTATTAAAAATTATATAAATGGGGATGAAATTAATCACAGAGTTTAGTTTCAGTAAAAAAGACAAGTTATAACTCAACATTCAAAAGGTAAATGGAAATGACACACTTAAGGGGAGGTAACTCCTGGATTACTACTTACTGTTGAAACCATCTACATTAAAAAGAACATCAAGATTTGATATTCTGTCAAATTCAAATATTTCTATTGTTTCAAGAATCATTATTCAAAGGTGTTTGGGGCTGTTGTTTTTTCAACTCAAATTTTATGTTATTTCAGAATTGTATTTACCCTTTGCCCTGTATTCTGTCTCTGATTTCCGAGTAGACTCCTTCATGTCCTTAATAGTCGTTTCATGCTCCTCTTTAAGTTGAGCTAAGGCCTTTTCATGGGCTTCATTCAGCGAGGTAATCTCCTGCTGCAGCCTATTTACTTCCTCTGTTGATTCACCTTGGCTTGTTGTAAGAGCAGAGATCTCCTCTTCAAGCCTTGATTTGTGGTTTTCCAACTCAGCTACAACACAAATGTTAACAATACTGACTGACTGAGTTTGGTTTTACGCCGCTTTTAGCAATATTCCAGCAACATCACGGCAGGGGACACCAGAATTGGGCTTCACACATTGTACCCATGAGGGGATTCGAACCCGGGTCTTCGGCGTGACGAGCCAACGCTTAACCACTAGGCTACCCCACCGCCCCACGTTAACAATAACCAATGTCCTATAACTTAAAAAAACATTTACTCATGCCTTGGTTGATGTTTTGGACATTTTGTGTGCTGGCAATTAGGTGCTAGACTTTGAGAGTTTGGGTTCGAATCCCGGATGGGACTAACAAAAGTACTAGAATCTGCATTTTATGAGAAAGTATAACCCAAAATATAACATATGTGATATTTCAAAGCAGCCTGTAAATAATAAAATCTGTGCCTTGCAAACCATTGGTTGATAGCATGAGAATTACCCAACACTGTCAGGCTACACTGACACATGACTGAACCAAACCAATCCCTATTTAGGGCAACTAAATAGTACCAAGGACCAATTCTGACCTGGATCTGAGGATTGATTGATTGAGTTTAGTTTTACGCCGCTTTTAGCAATATTCCAACAATATCACAGCGGGGGACACCAGAAATGGGCTTCACACATTGTACCCATGTGGGGAATCGAACCCCAGTCTTCGGCATGTTGAGTGAACTCTTTAATCACTAGGCTACCCCACCACCCCCTGGATCTGAGGAGGCACTAAGAGAACATCTAAAATCTGCTTTTCATTTTTAACCACTTAACAGCTTACTAAGTTGGATGTCAGGTGTTATATAAATAAAGTATTATTATTATCTTAACTTAAGCATGACTATAACAAAAGAAACATTTTGGAATTTGTCACAAAAGGAATAGAGCTTGTGTTGGATGATTTTTAATTTCACAAATAAAACATAATAAATTTGTTAATCAACTGTATGTTCATTTCATTTTTTAAAATCTTTTTTTTTTGTACCACCTATATAGGTCTGTCATCATAGTGGTAAGATAATGTTGGTTTTGCTGCAGCTAATTGGACCTTACCAATATGTCCCTCTGCCTCTTTCAGTTGCTCCTTGGCTTTCCCCAGTTCCTCAGCCAGGAATGGACATGAGAAGGCATCAAGCTGAAAATAAACATCACAATATGATACAGAATCAGTAAAATGGCATGTTAATCCGAAAACTTTGTGGCATGACCACCCACACATTGTTGCATTGTTAAATGCTGCACAATGTTTCAACTACGACAGTGACATGTAAATAATATTGTCTGGATAAGACAATCCAATGACAGACATCATGAACATCGATCTATGTAACTGACTGACTGAGTTTGGTTTTACGCCGCTTTTAGCAATATTCCAGCAACATCACGGCGGGGGACACCAGATATGGGCTTCACACATTGTACCCATGTGGGGATTCGAACCCGGGTCTGCAGCGTGACGAGCCAACGCTTTAACCATTAGGCTACCCCACCAGCCCCTCTATGTAACTGGGATATGATGACATGCATGAACTAAGTCAGCGAGTCTGACCACGTGAGTCTGTAGTCGCTTCTTACGACCTATTCTTTCCTGGAATCTCCATGTATGAAGACACGCTAATCAGCCAAAGTCACATCTAAGTGACAAAGTATACAGTATTAATTAGTGATCGACTTAGTCTGTCGTACAGACCCTAAAGCAAAGATATCCAAGAAAGCCCAAGCAAGTCTAGAAAATGTGGCAAGTCTAGATTTCCTCTGAAAATGAAGAAAGTCTCAGGGCTCCATTTCATTATATTATAAAAATTTTTTACTATGAACTTTTTTCAGTAAAATACGTTCATTTCAGAGACTAGTTGTTAGTCTATGATCGACTCTACCTTTGGGGTATATTTCTATTGCTGTTTATTGACAATGTTTTCATAAAAGAATCAGTTTTGAAACTTTATTAAACTCACAAACATTTGGGGAGGTGGTGGGGTATCCAGGTAGCCTAGTGGTTAAAGCATTTGCTCATCACAGGCTGAAAACCTGGGTTCAATTCCCTACACTTGTGAAACCCATTCCTGGTGTCCCCTGCCATGATATTGCTTGAATATTGCTAAAATATTGTGTAAAACTAAACTCACTCACTCACAAACATTTGGAATTAACTGCACATTATTTTTATTCCCTTCATTTGGCTTTTCTGTTTATTGGGTTATGGGTAATATCGCTAATATATTACTGGAAGGTTCAGCCTCCAAATCACAAAACTTTACAAAAATCCTTTCTGATGCCATACTTGTTTTGTATCCTGATTTATGTATTTTTCATGAGCTGCAAAATTATTCATCAAGGTCAAACTCATTTCAAAGAAGGTTGCCAGAACAGCTGACTTGTACTTTCTCCCCTCTCCAATAAAGTATCCGATTTCACATTAAAACCAGGATGAACGCCTCCACAGATCCCAAACACACAAATAACAATTTGAGATGGAACAGGTGGCATGATCTCCAATGACCAGATCAATTTTCTCGAACATTACATTATTTCTCACTTTGTATTTTCGGTACAAGATGTCCATTGTTTGTTGGGTATCTCAAGGACTAAGAAGACACGTAGAAATAGCGCGAGAGTTGACAACTTCTTGTGAACTCTCAAAATACATTCTCCCCCAACAGTCAGCTGAACCACATTCCACTCACTATCAGTTGTAGCTTCAGACTCCTTCTAAAGAGTCACAAAAGAAAGTCACACACAGAAAAAATAGTCGTTTGTTCAGGGTTTATCGCAGGTGTGACAAGAGAGAGTTTTTTGTTTGATTTTGATTAAAGTGTGAGTTAACTTTTGGAGGATTCGCTAGTAAAGATTTTGAGAATTTTTTTGTTCGTGTCAGGCAAATACCTGTGGTTACAATGGAACAGCTATTGTGATCAGGGACTGAAGAAAACATGCAACAATGTACAAGATATTTTTATGGATTAAACTTCTTTTTAATTTCCCTCACAACGTTTCGAGACCATCCAGGGAAACGTGAGGGAAATAAATAAAGTTTAATCCATAAAAATATCTTGGACATCTATGTATAACTTCTAAATGCCACTGAAGACAACATGCAACAATGTTAAAGACTAAATGTCTGAGACCATTTTGTCAAAGGGGAATGCCAGATAATGTTAAGGGCATCTAGAACTCCTTTGACAGACACAAAGTCCACATAATATGCTGATGTATTGGGCTGGCTGGCTGAGTATGGTTTTATGCCGTTTTTAAGCAATATTCCAGCAATATCACGGCAGGGGAAATGGGCTTCACAAGTTGTACCCATGTGGAGAATCGAACCCGGGCCTTTGGCGTGATGAGCGAACGCTTTAACCACTAGGCTACCCCACCGCCCCTGATGTATTGGGAGTTATGTCCTGGTCTAATTATAACATTCTATGATCTATGAAGACTCCGTACAGGAATATGTCCTACACACCTATACCAGCTATGAGGTGAGGTGAGGTGAGGTGAAATTGGGTTTTACGTCGTGCTTGAGAATATTTCGCTCATATGATGACGTGCATGCGTGTGTATGTGTATGTGAAGCTGCTTGTACTAGCCCAGACTGAAGCTGGTTTTATAGTGCTAGCCCACTGAGATACCATGCCGCAGTGAAGCATGAATACCCCACTCAGACACAGTATACTGATTCCGAGCCGACCAGTCCTTGTTGTACCAATTAATGCTGAGTGCCAGGCAGGGACCAACAAGTACCATATTTTAACGTCTTTTGGTATGACGCGGGCGTGGATCGAACCTACGACCTTCTGCTCTCCGGGCGGACGCTCTAACCACTACACCACAGAGGCGGTCACCAGCTATGAGGTGACTAAAATGGACAGTATCGGTGACTTGACCTATCTATTCTGGAAATTGGAGGACATGAGGTCAATCGCTGGATTGTCGCAACCAGACTTGATCATTTACAGAACACAATTATACAGCAAGAGAGTTTAGTTTTACGTCGCGTTTAACAATATTCCAGCAATATCACGGCGGGGGACACAAGAAATGGGCTGCACATTGTACCCATGTGGGGAATCGAACCCGAATGTTTTAACTTATAGGCTGGCCCTACAATTATACTGACTGACTGAGTTTGGTTTTACGTTAGCTTTAACAATATTCCAGCTACATCGGTGGGGGGACACCAGAAATGGGCCCACATTATAATTATACCCCCACACATATAATATGAGTGCATAAGGCATTAAACAACAACAAAATATGTGAATGTATAAAACGTAATGAAATATTCAATAAAGAAACCTAGAGTCTCAGTCTTAGGCCTAATGTTGAAATGGGTAGCACAATGGGAAAGGGGTTAAAATTTCAGAAAATATCTGCTCTGTTTCTGTAAGAGAGACCAATGCTTCTATATCTCCCATCTACTCATTGGTGCAATGATAATAATAAGGTGTTGATATAATGTACATATTAACACACAATTTGATTCAACATTCTAGACAACCCGTTCAATAAAAAATGGAGTAGCATTAATGTGATAAGTAAACTGATTAACATGTAGGTTATTGTAATATTATTCTAAACAAAGAAAGCTGGTTTGTAGGTCTAAACACACTATCCACATTTGTATTCTGTCTCAAACATGTCACCTGAAAGATTTCTTGAAATGGTTTCAGAATAGTTCAAGTTTCAGGACAATCATGAATCTTTATCTAAAATGTCCAAAACATTCAATTCATAATTTGAACTACAAAATAAGCACCCAATCAAAAATGGAATCCATGATGAAAAAAAGACAATTGTAATTTCCAGCTGTCTCTGACAAATTGTTTGTACAATTAGAGTGAGTGAGTTGAGTTTTACCCCGCTTTTAGCAATATTCCAGCAATATCACAGCAGGGTACACTAGAAATGGGCTTCACACATTGTACACATGTGGGGAATCGAACCTGGGTCTTTGGCATCGCACAATTAGAAAATATTGTAAAACCCTGACAACATTAATTTAATCACATATTCAATCTATATTTGTTTCTTCAACTTACTTCCTGGGTTAAGTACTTCACAAGACAGGACATAGCGTCGAAAGCTTGTGTGCTGTTTTTGAGTTGCATCTTGATGATATTGAGTTCCTTGGTTCGAGACTCGCATAACGTTTCCAGACGACTGATTTCCTTCTCCGAATTGGACCGTAATGAATTAGAGACGATATCTGGCTGATGACTGCCTTTAAGGTGGTTGCTGGTCTTACTGGGTGTACGAATTGTACGATTGCGATTTTGATCTGAAAGAACAAAATAATCCAAAATAACATACAGATATATATGCGACAGTTGTCATCAAACAATATTTTGCACATCAACAATAATAATATAAATATTTCACACATTGTTGATAATAATATAAATATTTCAGACACCACAGATGTCATCAATATTTTGGATGCAATTAATATCTGTTGGGAATATGCTGTTATAATGTTGTCTTGTACTATAACAGCTTTGCCATCATATTCTGATTAGCTGACAGATTTTCAGATACCCCAGTATATATATAGGGGTTTATTACATAGCTCTCCACAACTCTTAAACCATTTGATAAAAGGTGGCCAATCCATCTAAATACACCAGTGAAATAAGTACATGCAACATTTCGAAACTAACCATTACTCATCACATAATAACAAATTTCCAAAATTATGCTGTGTCAGCAATTATTCTAGACAATAGAAGTGTTCCTATTAGAATGAAACAGTGTAAGCAGCCATTGATAATTAACTGCATGAATAGACAAGCTTGTGGCAGAAAATTCAATCGCTTAATCGGTATTTATTCTTGTTTCTCAATGCCATTTAGGTGGTAAGCTGTTAACATATTAAGACATATTTATTAGCAATATATTGACACGATCTCCGATTGATATCATATAACATGCTGTGCAAATGTATCAACTACCATTTTTTTTGGTCATATTTTACAAAAGTATCAATTAAACAAACTTGTATAAAGAGACAAAAAAATTAAAACAATACTGCAGATTTGATTTTTACAAGTTATAAGATGGTATCTATTCTTTTGCGTGATGAAAATGTCAAAAGCAAAACTATCATAATTCTAAAAGAAATTATCTTTATTTTAAAAATAAACACAGCAGATTATTCTGATTTTTTATTCCCTGTGGACACCATCCCAAACAAACACCACAATGAGACCATAAACCTTGGTAAATCCTTTAAACCAGTCATGAATCCTAAGGAGAAACATCACGATGATCGGTGCCCTTCCTCACCCCATCACACCATTATAACCGCTACCGTAATGGATGTACAGTAACACAAGGATGTCATATACTACTAGAGCCATAACAATAAGTTGTCACTAAAGTAGCATCTTAAATCAGTAGGCAATTCTGGATATGCTGCAATCAATAATTCCATTTGTAGGAAATATATAATGATCACATTCCTACTTTTGGTAACTTGGTCAACCGTCATATACTTGTAGAGTCATAACAATTAGTTGTCACAAAAGTAGCATCTTAAATCAGTCAGCCATTCTGGATATGCTGCAATCAATAATTCCATTTGTAGGAAAAAAATAATGTTCACATTCCTACTTTTGGTAACTTGGACAATAGTCATATACTTGCAGAGCCATAACAATTAGTTGTCACTAAAGTAGCATCTTAAATTAGTCAACCATTTTGGATTGGCTGCAATCAATAATTCCATTTGTAGGAAATATATAATGATAACATTCCTACTTTTGGTAACTTGGACAACCCGATTATGTTTCTATGTCTACCAGAACCTGTATAAAACTTGTGCTTGTGCCCGGCTTCATCAAAAAGGTAAATGTCTGCATCACTTTGGTCTTCCTTCTCCATCAAAGTGACACAACATGATACAGCTCAAATACTATTAAAAGTGGCAAATCACTCAATAGATCTATACTGTATGTTTCCATACTGAGTGTAATGATTAGAGAAAAATCATTCTCCAAAATCACTTAGAACTGGAAGATTCTGCTTACAGTTCCAGTTTGGTAAAAGGAGATATAATTAATGACATGTTTAAATTTATCAGTGGGACTGAATCAATAAAACTATCAAGATATCAGTATTAAGTAATAATGAGTGATGCACTTTGAGCATGCCTTCATGGTGTAGACACTGCACAATATAAATGCCATTATTATGTTATTGTTAAGTTCAGAATCAGACTCTTTGCCCTTAAATAAAGGATCTTGAGACAAGACAATATCCAGGGAACTATGTAATATTGATGCCTTGATTATTGTTGAATACCATCCCACACAGAGCACTGTATTTGGTGAATACGGTACCATAACGTTTAGCAAAGCTCTACCAGTTACCTTCCTTACATCTGGTGTAGCTGTTTGTACTGCCTCTCCACTGCTCCTCTCGTTAGGAGAGCGAGCAATTAGGGATCTAATTTAGTCTTGTTAGAAATGTTTCCAGACTGTTCAGGTATGCCAGTAAAGCAGACACCTGTTTAGAAGAACACTATACAAAAACATGTCTTGAAGGGCACTGAGGCTGATACAAGCCATTAGGAGAGGTGTCGCGGAAACTGGTTTGTTGTTGTTTCCATACGTATCATAACGTCTATGCATTTCAACAGTGTTGCCAAGTAAATACTCCACAGAGAAAGATGTCCGATAAACAAAACAACCGTTTCATCCACAATGCTGGTGAGAATGATCAGTTTCACCGAGTTATGCTAATATCAGCAATATTCCTGTTATATCACTACATACTTTATATATTTCTTGGTCAGCGGTTGATAGCATGAGCACCAATCAATGCTGTTGAGTAGTATATACAATGGTGGCGAGATCTAAGGGCCTGACAAAAGCTTTATTAATGAAATAAAGCTTTACAGCGGCCTTTCTTGGAATTGATCTCGTACCCCCAGTATATCTACTACTTGTTGGGGTACAATGTGACACAATCTGCCAGTACTCATTAGTCTAGTAATAAGCACAGCATTCTATTACTACCGTGAGCAAGGAACCTCTTTTAGCTGAAATAATATAGCAGGGTCACCAGATATGGATCTCATACATGTAGGGAATCAAACACAGGTCTTCCACATGACTAGCAAAATCTTTAACCACTAGGCTACACAACCATCCAACTTCTACTATGATATCTCCAAAGTTTCACCCAGACAGTGTATGCTTGTTGTTAAAAACCTCACTAGCCATATACCAGGTATCTGACCGTGTCCGGTTACTATGACCAAAGATCCATGCAGTCAGGGTACAATGACATGCTGTTTTAACTAAACTACCAACCCTCACCACCAGTCCATTAGTTGTCACGTATTACCACTAGGGCTGGGTATTGCAGAGAATTTTCATATTGCGATATATTGCGATGCGAAAGCATGTATTGCGATATGTATTGCAATATATTGCATGAAGTGTTTTTAAACAAAAAACTACTTATAATCGAGTTAATGCTTGATTTATAGAGCAAAAACACAACAAAATCACTATGCTTGATTAAGCTTTAATAACAACTTTTAATCATGATAAAATAAAAATGTGAATAATATTTGGCACAAATGAAACAAGGAAATATCCGAAGATTTCCGAGTGCTACGAAGTTTTCCGAATGCAAGTCAAAATACCGGTTTTCGATCAGCGTATCGCAATACGCATCGTTTTCACGTCTGAACCGGTAAATACTGGTAAACCAGTTATATTGCGCAGCCCTAATTACCACTACAGAGACCTTTTCTAACCTTGAATCCTGATGGGTGAACTTCTGAGATACTGGCTTAAATAACACTACGATGATCAGTAAACCACTTTTTTCCATATCAAATCTTTTTTTTTCGTAACTGTGGTTTGTGTTATATGTTTCACATTCAACTAATAAAAATAAAACTCACGACATAAATGATGATATATGAGATTGATAAACAGATAGAAATGAGGATATGTGCAAACAGCTGCCAAATGCTAGCATGGTAGTTGTAGTGGTCGCTCCATATCATGGCTGGTTGTATATTTTGAATATCATCCAAGATTTGAAACTCTTCCATGAAATGATGAGATGAAGGAAACCCTGGCGACAGGCCAGTGATACAGGTTAAGCTGTACCAGTGTGATCTGATCGGAGTAGATCTTGCCAAAGCCAAAATAAAAACAAGGAACAAAAAGTGTTAGCAGTGCAGAATGACACCACCACATCAAGAGACATTCTTACACATGTCAATATTCGTTCACCTTCTGTCTGATTATCTCCCTTGCAATTATACCACACTGGGGAGACATTGTCTTATATTACCACTTACATGATTAAGAGAATTGTGAGTTTTCTGCTAATCAGCTATGAAGTGCCTGTAAACATGGCATTTCATTTGTTTCTTGTTTTGATTTTAGAGATGATGTATGCAATACTTTTGGGACACTACCACACAAACTAGTGATTGATATCATGAGCAACATCCCCTGTGGTCAGTGTATACGACAATATATCAACCAAATGACCATGTCCGACTCCCAAATCCATTAAGTCACCACATACAAAATGCACATGTTGCTGGAGACCAAATTAATCCCCAAATCCCTTCAGGATAATGTAACGATGATTGTTAAACTAACAGTAAGAGAATGAGCTGAAGTTTATGCCAGTTTTGACAATATCCCAGCAGGGGTGCCCCACAAAGGGCTTCACATTGTACCCCACGGTGGGGAATATAAGGCCTTCAGTGTAACACTAAAATGAATCAGAGGCCCAGCCACCAACCTTTGATGTAATCAACAACTTATTGTATTTTCTACTACGAAGATCCATGGTCCTTCAGTGGAATGCCCATGTAATATTTTTTTTATATTCACCACAGTGTATTATGAATATTCACCGTTAAACACCGTTGAGCAAAGGCACAAATCCAAAACCTAAAATAGTCAAGCCTGATGGAAACAATAACAGCTCAGTGATTCATGCACATCTCACGCCTCAGGTATGTACAAGCCTAGCTCAACAATTAACAAGTGGTGGAATCTGAAGGTAATTAACACCGGGAATGTGAAAATATAAAAATATACTTCAAGAATGCACAGAACAATTGAATTGTATTCCCATTGTACATCTGTCCCCGGATTTACTGGGTATGCAAGTAGGGGTACATGTGAACCCCAAATCATTCATTTTCTTGTCACTGGCAAAAAAACAAAACCTTACTGTAAATATTTTCTTAATCATGAGCCTACAGCCCCATTAGGTTATAAGAATGTTATCATGATGTTA